TGTTCAACAACCATATACTCTAAAAAATTAAGCAATTAGAGAGAGTGTGACTTATGTATTTATACTTTAATATGCCCCTTCACATGTTGGTTAGATTTTGGGTTTAGCATGTGAAATTTTTTTTAATAATTAGGGTGATGGCGAGATTCGAACAAAATACTTTCTGTTTTGATATCATGTTGAATAATCATCTACTCTAAAAATTTAAGTTGGTAGAGAAAGTCTAACTTATGTACCTATACTTCAATAATAGGTACTCATCTAACTATTTCATTTGCTTGAAGGGGTTGTGAAGCCATCAAATGATTCGAGCCAACCTTTTGTTACATGTACTAATCAATCTATCTAAGATTGGACCTCGAAGGTTTACGTTTAAGTTGTATGGTAATGTGATCAGTAGCTAGCTGTTCCTTAGTGAATTTGTATGCCTATTAGACAATACTCGCGATTTGTATGCATTTAAGTGACATTTATCATTCTTCAATAGTTTATTGTAAGTGTATTACTAAGGATGGTTATCAGAGTCTTCATCTGGATCTTACATTTTTACAATATAGTATTGGCAAATTGATCCGAGTCTCTTACAAAATTCATAATTCATAGGATCTTAATGAATTATGATCCTAGGTCTTAATGGATCGTAGGTTATCAACTGAATTGCAATTTTTTTTTATCAAGTTGTTCTGTTTATGAAACTTCATTTAGTTGTTGAACTAGCTTTCTTTATATATATTGTTCTAACACTTAAAAGACTCGATCAAACTGTGATTGTTTTGTATAAGTGTCAATTTATCTGGGAATTTCAATGACAAAAATCACAGAAAGTTCTTTTCATTACCTAACGCTCTCTTCATTTGTTTGTCTCTCATTGAGAATTATAGGTAAGTTTGTTCTCCTCTTTTGGCGAATGATCATTTTTCATTCTGTATTGGTTTTTTTATTTGCTGGACACTAAGCAGTAAAAGTTGTTTATTCAATAATCTTTTAATATTTCCGTCTCTTTTTGAAAGTTAGTATCAAAATATTTAAATTATCTTATTTCTCTTTGCAAAATCCTATGCGATTAATAGTTCACCTTTGATGATTTTTAACTCGCTTCAATGCTCAAATTATAATTTCTCAAAGTTTATTCATATATTTAAGTTCTGTATTTGTCTTTTGAATATATACGAAGATTGTTTATTGTTCAATTTGTAAGATTTTATGATTCTTGATTTGATTCCGATCCTTTAACCTCCCCCATTGATCTAAGGTAGGATCTCGATTTTTTGTTTTTGTTGATAAGTAAAATATGGAGAGAAACTCGATTTTAAAACTATGGTATTGAGACATTTGATGAACTGTCCAAAATAAAATTTCTACCCTGTTTTGATTTGTTTTTCTTTTACTATTATATTCTGTTTTTCGTAGGATTTGATCCAACACTTGAGTTATTCATAATACTAGAGTTGAATTACTTGAAAGTTGTTAGTGTGTAGACTAATGGCATGTGTAAAAAAGCTGTATAATGGTTTAGGAGGGTATGTAGTTATTCAAGTCATAAAGTCACGTAAGCTTTTGTCTTCCTTTTTTTTTTTGGAACATGCTATTTGTCTAGACGTGATCCAAGTGGGTTGAAGTGGTTGAAGAGCATATCTATCAAAATAAATACGATTACCTTGATAAGATATTCCCATCATTTGTCATCTATGTTATATACGGAATATTGTTCTCTAAGGATTCGTTTGGTAGACGTATTATGAGGGGATTAAATATTAGATTGTACTATTTTTTATTTAATCGGTGTTAATATTTTGTTTGGTAAGTAAATTTGATACTATATTAATTTTAAAAATGTATATTAATTGTATATTTATCGTATATTTTTTATATAATAGACCTGTATTATGAAAGTATTTTAATATTACCAAAAGAGGTTATATTATAATCAAACTAAAATGTATTATTCTACTCAGGTACTATTATAGCCCTCTAACAAATAAAATTAAGTTGTCATCAATATAACAAACACTGATTGAGGGTATTTTTGTTAATTCAACATTAATAAAATGAAATAATTTTATAATCAAACAACCGATTGGATTAAATAATTATTATCTAACGATTATGTTGTGTATTATGAGCCCTAAGGGTTATAGTTGACGGTAGTTTTTGAATTATATCTCTACTATAAAATCGTGCATTGAGTTTCTTCTCATTCAGCTCCTTGCGATTGAAATTCAAAATCATTTAATTACATCGTTCTATTATTGAGTTTTTTTCATTGTTTCCTCTCTCTTTTTTGAATTGGGCTAGCTTTGTCTCAAAACTAAGCTTCTGTTGTGTTTTGAATAGAAAATATTCACAATATCAGTAAAATATGTGACAAAGTGAAACATAATCATGTAAATTCGGGATAAAGTGTGTTTTTTCATTCAATTTGTTATGAATTTATGCACTTGACACTTATAAAAGTAATAATCATAGTTGAAGGTGAATGTAAGAAACACGACAAGTGGGGAAACTTTTTGAAGTATTCATTTGTCCCAGGCGTATTTTCAAACTGGAGAAATTGTGAGGAACACATTGGAAGCTAACGGAATAAAGGCAGGGATATGAATAAACTTAAAGTTATGGTTGTATGTGAGTTCTTACACGATATCATCTAGGGAAGATGGTTAAAGGGGTTATTGCAGGCCAGAGACCAGGTTCTAATTCGAAAAGGGCCAAGCAAAGGGAACACTTTTGTTTTGGGGGCAACTGCAACCATTCTCACAGCATGCCATTTGGATCCGAAGTAAATTTCATATGTATGCAATCACTGACAAATCTCGCTGGTCAAACATAAATCTTACGCCAAGGGACTTAAACCAAGAAAAGAACTACAATCGTGTTTTCTGGCCTGCTAAGTCCGATTAAAACCCGGTCCCTTGACTTGATCGATGGCCATACGTTCACTGGCAGGCCTTGTGTGCCGACCATAAAATTTTTTTGTTTGTGCATTGAATGCTACACATTCTTGGGGTTCTTCCTTCAATGTTCCTAAATCTTATTGATTCATGAAAACGGAGAGTGTTTACACAGGACATTTCTTACCAAATCAATCGTGTGGGGTTTCGTTCTAGAGTCCGGTGAGCATTTGTTATTTACATGAAGGCCTGTTTTTCTTCGATTTGGTTTACAACTTTTGGTTAGAACGTACTTTACATATAATCCAGCTAATATAATCATTTCTAATTGCCTAGTCAAAGATACATGCAGAGAATAAAAACACCCAAGAGGTCAACGAAAGTTTGTAAATATTAAAGTAGTACAAATTCAATGAATCAATGTCAAGGTTCCTCCACAATGCCTTATTTTCTTTGCAATATGATAACATACAATTGAAGTTGGGTGACAATTGAAGATGGGTTTGGGTCGACCGTATACGAATTGAACCTAGCACCAACTTGAAGAAATGAGAGAAAAAAAAAGGGTAAGATTATTACAAACATGAATAACTCGATTTTGATTTAACAAACCGTTTTGCTAATATTGTATGAAATAAATAACTATTTTATTTTTCAATTCTTGATCTAGTATTGTCTGGTAGTGTATGAATAGTACAGGATTTCGTTTGTTAGGATGTGGATTAAGTAAATTCTCAATTACCAATGGCCTTTAGTTTAATGATACTCTTTTCTTTCTTGAGGTTAGGGGTTCAAATCTCCTTCCTCCACCAAAAAAAAAGAAGATAAATTCTCAACTCATGGACAACGTACGTGTGGTAGATTTTGTTAAATTCTCAACTCATGGACAACGTACGTGTGGTAGATTTTGTTGAAAGAAAAGAGTTCTAACTCTAGAATTTTTCGTTCACGAATCAAGCATGTCAATCTGAACATAAGATGAAAACGATATGAATCGAAAATGACATAACCCAGACACAGAGCCTAGCGTGAATGGAAAATCTGGGGCCAACAAATGCCGATATCAGCTTCCTGCTTTAGCAAAAACCCAGACTGGAGTGCTGATTATAAGTCAAGAAAAGTTAGCCATAACTTCAGGGTTTGGTAATTGCACGCGCTTCAGAACTTCTAACATGCTCAAACCTTTTTAACGTAACCTTCATCACAAAGCTAATTTCTTTGCTTACCATGTAAAAAGTATGCAAGTCGTATAAATACAGTAAAAAGAACATAAAAGTAAAGCACACGGATGTAGAAAAAAGACATGAAGACCATAAGCAAAATAACTAGAAGTCTGAGAAGAAATACATTTTTAGTCCCACAAGTATGTACTTCGCCTCACTTTGATAGACATTCTTTCAAATATATCACTTTAATCCTTAAAGTTTTCAAATTGAAAATGTACGAATGGATAATAGATGTTTAAGGTGTTGATGGAAAATGTCACATGCATTTGACTAACTACATTTCCGTTCCATAAAATTATTCAAGAAATGTCACTTGTTTTGTCAAGTATCAACTTTGTCAATTGTATCTTAAAACTTTCTCCTTTTAGTTTAAAGAGTTGAAGTGATACTCGGCGTTTAAATTGAGGCACACACGACATTTTTGTGTTTGAACATACATGGTAAATATGGTATATTTCTGTTAGCAATTTTAAGGGCCATTTAAATTCTATCTGAAAACTTTAGGGATATAATTAACAACATCAACAACATTACTTGATCCCTCAAGTAATCAAGGGACTAAAGTAATATTTTATGCATGCTTTAAGGACTAGAATGGACACTTTTGAATTACATTCTCTATGGGCCATTAATGTATTTTGTCCCAAAAGTCAACTTGTTTGGTGTTTAACACAACAGCGTCATGTGCCCTACTACTCCATCATTTGCCTTTGAAATGGGAGTTCTCTATATATGCAATTGATCGATCACTTTATTCTGTCTTCAACACACCTAGTTTTTCTTGAACTTTGCAGCCTCATTCTATAATTCATCATCAGAATTCTAATAACCCACAAAACCTTGGAAAGGTTATACCAATAAGTACCAACATTATACTCATAGTTCAATGGAAAAAGAGGATGGCAAAGGGAAAGAAAGAGTTTCTGTGCTTCATGGAGATGGTTTCCACTTCAACAGAATTCTGTCAAGAGAGTCCCCCGTCGGCCAATCCTCACGTATATATTATCGGAGTGCTGAAGGGGTGCCATTCAAATGGGAGAGGCGTCCCGGGACACCAAAAAATTTGCCGGAAGGCAGACTAATTCCTCCACTCAGTCCTCCACCGGCCATGCAGAGTTTGGGGCTTCCTAGGCCTTGTGTTCACGACCAGCCTAAAGACTCAAACAGAAGGTGGGTTTTGTTTTGGAAGAGAAACAAGAAAAGCAAAAGCAAGAAAAAAGTGGAAGCACCAGGAGAGACAAATGATGATAATATTGCCTCTGATAAATTTGAAACCTCTGAGCATAGCAACTCTGAGAGAGAATTTGAATTTCCGTTTGGTAATTCAAGTTCTTGCTCGTCTTCATCGACGTCTTCTTCGAATGGTCTAGCTCTTAAAGAATCAAAAGTCCACAGAGATTTGCAAGACGGCTCGTTGTATTGCAGTCCTTGGAAGATTATGGCAACACTGGTTGGTGTTGCAAAAAGGGTTTAACTTTATTTTGAAATTTTATGTGCATGGCTTTTGTAGGTGATCAGTTTTTTGTATATGTAAGAGTTTAATTGTATATCATCGTTACAATGAAATGTTGATATCTTGTATTTTACTATTAGTAATTGGTTGTGCCTGAATGTACTACGTAATAAATAAAAAATCACAAATAAATTCCAGTGCTTGAAGACACTTTATCACACAAAAAATCGTCAACTAAAAAAACTGAAGATAATCTTCGGTCAATATAATATGGGCCCACTATTTTTTAAAAGCAAATTTATGGTGTATTCTAAAAACATTCTGTTAAACAATTTCAACCTTATTCAATGACCAATTAATCTTTGGTATGGTGCAAAGAGTGATTTCTATGCAAATAGTGGTAAATCAAAAAATCACAATGGTGTGAATGCAATCAACTAAATATGTGAAAGAAAGCAAGAGAAGGGGATTTAGAGATGAACCGCAATCAAAAATAAAATTAAGTGTTAATAACATTTTTAGTCCTTAAAGTGTGTTTTGACAATTTGATCCTTAAAATATTAATTTTGTTAATTTGATTTCTAAAATATTCAATTCATATTTAAATTATTCATACATAGATAAACAGTTAAATTTTTGATGTAATTATCACGTGATGCCATCTGAAAGAATGACACATGGTTACTTCCGTAAAATTATTTGACAAATTGTCTGATTAGGAACTAAAGTGACATAAATTGAAACTTTAAGGACTAAATTTAAAAGATTAATATAATGAGAACCAAACTGATAAAATGAGCATACTTTAGGGACCAAAAGTGTTGTTAACCCTAAAATACACAACATGAGCAAAACTCAAATTAATCAAAATTAATTTTTTTTTACAATTCTACTTGGTTGAATTGCAGTATTATTGTTACATTCTTATATAGTTAGACACTTTGTTTTGTTATATTAGGTTCCTATTAAAAATCCAAATGGTTTTCTATTGCTCCAAAATCTATTAAGATCGTTTGACAGATAGTTTTCAGGCAATTGTTTGTGAGGGCTTCAAATACTTTGTTTCAGGATTTTCTTTGATAAATTTAATGGACAAACACACAATATAGGGAACTAAGAGGATTCTTTTATTAATTTTTTAGTTACAAGAAAGATTGAATAAACAGTCTTGATTATAATAGTAACTGCTTCTTAAATCTAATCTAAAACTATTCTCAAAAATGCCTAAATCGTGTTTTTTGTGGAGGGTTTGAATGTATCCTCTATCTTCTCTACTACATGCCCTTTTATAGCCATTGTCTACGATGGTTTTGCTTCCATCAATGATTATTTGACTGTTAACTTCCAATTAGTTATTTCTTTTTTCAAATATGGTTGGGCTGCTCATCTCCCACCTTTCTTTAGATTTTGTCATGTGACATCTTCTTAGTGCACTAAGATTTTCAGATGCCAACACATTGAATATTCATAAGTTTTAATATTTTATTTCCAAACAATATCCCCCTCATTTAATTGGATTTAATTAATAACCCCAATAAATGACTGGGCACGATCGTCGCTTCTTTCAAAACACCTATTTAAAAAGTTTTGGTGGCTGAACTGTTCATTTCACTTTCTTCTTTTTTCTTTTTTCTTACTTCTTCCTATCCTCCTTCTCTTTCAGCGATTACTCTTTCCACTGCTTGAGATGGCTCTAAAGAAGCAAAACCCTCCATCTTCATCTTCATCTAAAATCCCTTTCTCATCGAGATTTCATACTGACATTAAGCAAACAACACATGATTCGGCAGACCATAGGATTCTAATTCCTACTCCCCAGTTCTAGTGGGACTGTTGATCTTGGTCCCTCCTTTAAGTCATATGTCTATGAAGGATTCTCAAACCACTACCTTGTTCACGAAGGTGAAACCCTAATGTTGAATCAGTCCTAACTCCTATGTAAGTCCTAAAATTAGGGGACTAATCCTCTTCATTCATGGATTAACCCTGATCAACATTGAGTCAATTGGGTTGCAAAGTTAGAGCCTTATTTCGCCCTCAATGGAGACGTTCAAGTATCTTTGAAATGATTAAGCTCTCCAGAAATGCACATGAATCGGTGGCTAATTGGCTCTGTCGCGTGTTTCTGATCCCAATCATGCAATGTCATGTTCCTTCCTATTGTTATTATGTCCCTAACAATACTGGACATTTTCATCTAACAGGATTTCCATCGACAGATATGGAGATAAAGCTTGCATTTCTACCGATACTAGTCGTGACTTCATCAATATCCGTTTCAATATGGGGTATAGTGAACTTATTAATCATTTATTTGCCTCTCAGTCTCTTAACTCTTCATTTGTGGAGCATTTTTCCTTTCCTCTTTATTGGCTCTATTGATTTGTTCTTTGTGTTCCTGATTTTAAGGTGACCAAAGAATATATTTGAGCAGTCATTCAATTGGCTAAAAGAAAGAAACTTGCCTTGACCCTTTTTTGTTTTAGGGCATTATTCAAAGGTCTTTTTAATTTTATAGACAATAGGATTACCATCAGCTGTGGAGGAACCTTCGAGATCTTCTAGACTTGGCTTTATGCCTATTTTCTCGAGGTTTGGCTTCTTGAATCTTTGCCTAGGCCATACTACCTCTGGAGAGGTTAATAAATTGCAGCATATTTTCCAAAGTAGTGTGTTTCTGCCTCGTTATCTTCATGTGGGAGGCTTTGTATTTGCCTCTAAAATTTTCAACTGTAGCTTTGAAAGCTACAATCCTAGTAAGTTTTGCCAAACAATTTGGCATATTTCCAATCTTCCTTTCATTCAGAGTGGTGGTAGAATATTTCAGCCTTAATCTTCATCTATTCTATAGATGAATATGTATCCAAGTTGTGTTTTGATAATTGAAAAGCTAATGAAACTTCTGGCAGTAGAAAGAAGAAAACAATTGAGGCTTTCATTCTTGTCCCTTCTCCCCCTACTAATCCAAATAGTGGACAGTCTTAATTGAGGAGCCAAAGAAGAAAAGACAAAGAGGTTCTTCTGCAAGTTTGCTACAATCTGCTATCGATGCTCATGATAGTGCTGTTTATCCCTCAAAGAGGGTTAACCCTTTTCATGTAGATGCCTACCATTGATGAGCAAGAGATTGAAGAAATTCCTCTTCTTCACAAAAAGACAAGTAATCCCTCTTCTTTGGATATATCAAAAGAGACAACTTCCGTGAAGGGACCTCCATTGCCAATGTCAGCTGATCCTTCTCTAAAGGGGGATAATGAAGTAATTCCTTCTCTATATAACAATGGGGACATGTTGATTAGCAAGCTTATCCCTAAAGACAAGTAAATTGGAAAAAGATCCAAAATGGCTTCTAAAGTAAGAAACACATATCTTCATGTTTCTCATTCTTTTCCTCTTTTGACCAATGCTTGATAATGTCTCATTCTCTTTTCTTTCAAAGGGAGGATAAAAAGTTGTTTATGCCATTAGAGCATAGTAGTCTTAACCATTCTTCTCAATTATCCTAGAGGACCAAGGAGGCAACACAATGGCAGCTATAGTCATTGTCATTCTTATCAATCAATATATGTATTTCTTGCTTATTGAGGGTCAACTAACACCTCCTCAACAAAATAATCCTATTGAGACTAATATCATTCCTGAGGAACTTGTTTGCGAAGACTCTACCATTCCAATTCATGTGCTTTACATTGAGCGTCAAGGTGACTTTCCTCAATCCGATTCTCCTCAGCAAGTCCTTCCTACTAAACCAAGTCCTATTCTTGAAGAAGCTGCATACTAGGATCCTACTATACCAATTCCTACTAACAACCCTTTGGTGAATCCTGATGGCCAAACAGATCAACTGAAGAAGTCCTTTCCATTTAATTTTTCTATGAAGTAGGTAATTTCTCAACAATCCTTCTATTGCTTCATTTCTCATGTATATTTTCTTGTTGTTCCCTAACCAATTTTCTTCTTTCTTTTGCAGTCAATGCTTGAATCTGCCTCTCAAATCAAAATCTCAGACTTTGGTATTGAAGCTATCTATCATAAAGTAGATGAATTCATAAGGATAGTTGATTTTGTATCTACTTCTAGCATTTCTCACCCTCCTATTGAAGAAGCTTTGAAGTAAAAATTCTTACATTTCTTCAAACAATTTGAGCTTTCCTTCGATCAACTCATCCAAGAAGGCCTCTATCATAATCTCCTGCCTTGCCAAGATTTCTACTGTTGTTGTTTGCTTACTTCACAGAACAACAACAACATCATGTGGGCTATATGGGCACTCATCTTTAGACCAAAATCTCACACGCCTGCTATTTCCAAGATGAAATGAAGAATAATATAGACTTTATTGATTATGTTAAAGTCTTTGCTCCTCAAATTACTTCAAATAAAAAAAAGTGAGGACAAACTAAAACAACAAGATGCCATCTTACTGTAGGAAAAAATGGAACTCAGAGAAAATTTGTCAAAGATAGTGTAGAATATAGCCAAAATAAGACAAGAAAGGGAGAGTTTGCTTTTAAATACCAAGAAACCACCGACTAACTACCAAGATAAAAGTGGTAAATTGTTGGTTGCAACAAAAAGTTTGAGGCATGACCAACAATAATTGAAACTACTGTCAAATGAGTGGGATACCTTTAAGCTCTACTTTCCTCTATCCTAGCATTTTTAGTAGACTGCATCGTTTACTTTGGATCTTTTTATAATCTTGTACATATGTAACTTGGCCAGTTGGTCTTTTGATTAATACAAAAGAAATATCGTTTCATCTATGACCCCATAACCTTTGTTATTATCTCATTCATTACATGATATTATCATTAAAACCATCAAACAGTGGTTGAAAATAATGAATGAAAATAAATGAAAGTTTTCATTTCATGGCTTAAAAGATACAAAACCAAATGAAACCAAACAAAACCTTCCTATTACAGAGGAATTACACTTACAAATTATTCAATCCTCTTACTCAAATAATAGATGGCTTGCTCTTGATCTTTTGTGGCATCCATGTTTAGAGGTTCCATCAAATATCCCCTTGACTCCTTAAAAAGCTTTCTGGTGTATAACTTCTTATTCGATATCCAATT